AAGAGATTTACCATTTTGGATAGCCAAAAGACTTGCAAAAAGGTTTGATAAATCAATTTATTTATTTATTCTGCACAAAATTAATTCATCCACCAACCATCAATAAAATTAACTTTGTAGGCAAATAGTAGGAATTCAACGACCAAAATTTCTTGAGGATCAAATTATAAATGCATTAATAGCTAATCCAATTGATGTCAACCTACGTATTATATGTCCACAATTTTATACTTTTGCAACAAAATATGTTGAACAGTTTGTATCATAATAATATAATAATAAAGGAAAAATTTTAACAATAATTAATTATAATTGTTGTTGTTATTTATTTTAGAGCTAATGATGCTAGATTTGCTGAAAAACTTAGACAGACACTATTAACAGTAAGGAATCAAAATTTCATCATATTATCGCGAACTTATGCACGCAATTTATATATAATTACCTATTTATCTAACTAATGATTGATTTATGGATTGATTAGAGTAAACTAGCAAGAAACGTAGAAATATGGGATAGAGCTAAAAGATTTGCAGAGGATCATAATGAATTTTTGGAAAAATTAGATGATGATGAACAATCATGTAAGAAGAATATAAATAGAATTGATTATAAAAGAATCTCTCTGTTTTTTTTTGATTTTAAAAAAAATAATATTCAATTTAAATTTTTTTTTTAAAAAAAAATTATAAAGTGTTTCATGAACAACGTGAAAGATTTGAAGAATGTTATATGGAATTTTGTTAAATAATTAAAAAAGTTTGCTTGCAATAAGAAACAAACCATTAATTAAAATCATGATCACATTATTATTATCAAATGTTTGCCATTCTTTATTAGTGGTGATGGAACTTGGGCCACTTGTCAAACAGTGACTTACTTTACCTCTCTCTTTCTTTATAATCCAATCCATCTATCCTCCATCTTATCTGCATAAATATTTCATGACCATGAAACAGTGTCACATGCTCAATTTGTAGATTTGCATCATGTGTTCACCAACCACTCTTATGGCCTTGCTTACAAGTTTCACAGCCAATGTTTTGTCTGGTTCTAACCTGTAAAAAATTATGTTATTAATATTAACAAATTTTACTTTCAATAGAAATTTTTTAGGATGTAGTATTAGAAAAAGGGAAAATCTAAACATAATGGGCAGTTATATCATGGATTATTAGAATTAAACTTAGATTTTATTAGGAAAAAAATAATAACCTGTAGAAAAGACCAGTTTCATTCATATTATAATACTTCAATATCCTCTAAAAACTTATCAAAAACCAATATCAAGCCATTGGTTATACCAGCTAACAACTGCTCAGCAATATTTGACAAATAAAAATACTCACCTAATATTTGCACAATGGTTTATTACTGAGCTAGAACAATCACAAAATGTTCCTGGTGGATATCTTAAAAAATGGAGGTATTCCTCAATTGGCTTGAAAATTCTAAACTAGGTGAATAATTTCATCAAGGTTATTATTATTAAAATTTATTGTTTTCTTCAAATCTATATATATTCTTATCTACTGTAATTATCACTAAGATGATGTAGATGATGTTGATTATGATATGTATATTTGGATGTTGCTGAAAAAAAACTTTAAACTCTTCAAATATTAAACTCCATGTTTCATATTTTTTTTTCTTTTTCAATTAACAATCCATAAAAATCTCCCATATCATTTATTTCAGTGTTACCAAGTTGTAAATTTTTTCAACCTCATCATTTTATATCTTGGAAAATGTTCTGGTCTTAAATTAAACATTGACATAACAATAACAGTTGATGAGAATTGTCTTAAAACTCTAAAAAAAATTTTTTTAAATCTAAAAATAAAGAAATGATATTATTAATACAAAGCAATTGAATAATTATACATGCAACCCAAAGTGTTTTGCAATGTCAAATTATTCCAATGTCAAAAGTATAATACAATATTATGCTATAACTCACCATGTGGGAAAGTATCTGAAAATGCACAATGATATATACATGAACATTAACCCTAGATACCTATCTATTGGCAGAGCCAGAATTGTGTAATGAGAAATAAAGAAAAAATATTTTTTACTTGTTAGTTGTACTTCTTTAATTAATAGTGTCCATTGATTGGTTGAATTTATTTCATCATTTAACTGGGCCTCTATTAGTGATGAAATAGAATTAACAAGCTCAACAAAAACTTGCATACCCAATACATCCAATATTTGAAGAAGTATTATTATCATTATGAGGCTTTTAAGGGTGGAGTGATCGACAATATATTTTTATTTAATAAGAAATGATCAAAATAATTTTTGAGAGTAACATCACGTTTTATTTCACTTTGAAGGTTA